TTCGCTTCCAATGCTCGTATTGCCAAACATTGTTTAGAATAACTAAAAGATATCCGTCGTCTTCTTTTATGAGATCTCAAATTAATTTAGGGTTTTCATTCACCCTTCGTTTGCAAAGCAATCATCTGATCTGTTAAGACGTATCGTGTCGGACCTGATTACTCACTGTTGTACGTTCCATTCAACGACATTCAATTTACAGTGCCATTTGGTTATCCGCGCTCTTGCCATTTTCGATTTGGAAGTGCGCTGTAACGAAGGTTCACTATACGTTAATAACATTTTGTTCGGTCAAAAAAAATACAGAATCCTCATTTTTCCGGAGTATAATATGGTAGGCATACCTGTCGAAGTTTAACTCGCTTTGATTATGATAAACACCATTGCGAAATGAAGCAACGGTGTCAGTGGCTCATAACCTTAACGGCATTGTGTTCAGATCTGTTGGAAAAGGCTCGTGTTATTCGACAGGCTCCGGACGAAAGGTGCTTTCATATTTTTTATCAACTACTGGCCAATGCAACCCCCAAAATGCAAGAGGATCTGCTTTTGGACCAAGCCAACTCGTACAGATTTCTTCTTAACGGAATGTTAGAAATCCCGGGATCAGACGAAAGACAATCTTATCGGGAGACCACCGAGGCGATGAACATCATGGGCATAACCGCTGAAGATCAACAAGGTTAGTGACATGACGTGAATATAATATGCACCATTTCCCTTCAAGCGTTCAGTTTCACAGACAGGTTTTCTAAGGAAAAGATTTTCTTTACGATTCTGTGCCCTAATCTGATCTGCCTTTCAGCACAATAGCACCAGTTTATGACTCGTAATTGTCAGTAACTAAGCTAGTCCATGTGTTATTTGATCTTTCGAATAAGCACGCCAACACGAGCCTCGATCCGATCGTTGATCTGGATGTTACGAAATGGGTTAGTTATTACTTTCTACCGTTTTACTGCGCGTTGTGTGCGTGGTTTGTGGTCTTTCCAATGAATGCAGCGATCCTTCCGATTTTCCCCACCGATTTCCTCTCTCACACTTCATATTAATGTCTCTCACCTACCACATGGTGTTTTAGTTGAAAACAGTCAATCGAATTTCTGGAACTGCCAGAATTTCGGTTGGCAAAAGAGCTGGGAATTAACTGTATCTGTCTGAACGAATTTTGTGATAAATTTCCACGGCACTTTGAATTGTAGTGACCTCACGGATATGCAACACTCGGATAGCGTACGGCAGACCGCTACAAATTTGGCGTTAATGCGGGATGTCGCATCAGTTCTATTTTTGCCACAATGCATTCATTTATAATATACTGCTAAACCTTGGGTTTGTATCCGAAGGACGCCAACTGGAACTATTGGACCATCTTCGCTTGCGTAGTTTGGTACGATTAGAGTAGAACTAACGGGTTAACATTACCAAGTTAAGCTGTCATGCGTTTCGGTGGTAGTGGTCAAATGATTTATGTCGCTGTCACTTGCTTTGGATCCTAAAGTCCGGGGTTCAAACGTCCCAGATACTCTAGTTTGGTAAAACAGCCTCTTCCAGCTCTGTCAGGATCGCTCCTATCCTATCCGAACTAGGCCTTATGTGGTTCGTCACTCCAACTCGTAAGATTGTCGTTCACTGAGTGAACTGTAGGTTCTTGTGATTATAGTAGCTCAGTAAAAAATGTTAGAGCATTTGCTGACCAATTCGCCTGAGTAAGCACCAGTGATTAATGCAGGTATTGTGCATATCTGACTGTCGTTTACCGCATTGCGTTATGCATGCAGTTGCTGGTCCAGAATTGAGCAAGCTATTGACGACCTGGAGACAAGAGATGATGAACTCCTGTAATAAAGGAGAGTTGATGTCTCTCGTTTTTCAGAATAGGGCCTAGAAGGTCCCCTATGTAATTCGTTGCGCTCAACAATGAATAAAGAAATCTCTTTGAATGTATTTTGTTGTGCAATAAGTATGATGTCTCGAACACTGATCACAGTAACTTGTTCTGTAAGAGAATTCTTACGTATGTGTTCATTCTGTTTTGTACAGTGTCATTACCTGACCTGTTTCGGGTTGGCGATTATTTATATGTATAGACATCTTTTGAACTGTTTCGAAAATTTCACAGATGAAACGTCTTTCTTTATCCGCAGCCATTTTCCGCATTATTTCCGCGGTTCTGCATTTGGGAAATTTGGATTTCCGTCAGGAACGTAACTCCGATCAAGCAACACTTCCCGACACATCGGGTGAGTCACAATGGGACCACTGACGTTCTTTTTTCCACACAAACCGAATTTCTCTTCTTCATGAAAAATGTTTCTTATACTTTTACCGACAGCTGCTCAAAAAGTGGCGCACTTGCTTGGGATTCCTATGGCTGAAATGATCAAGGCGTTCCTTAAACCACGCATCAAGGTCGGGAAAGACATGGTGCTGAAGACACAAACGAAAGCTCAAGTGGAATTTGCTGTGGAGGCTATCTCCAAGGCTATTTACGAGCGTCTGTTTTTGTGGCTTGTAGCGCGAATCAACAAGACGTTGGATCGTACCAAGCGACCCGGCGCTTCATTTGTGGGCATTCTGGACATAGCTGGGTTCGAAATCTTTCAGGTATTTCGCCCCTAACCCGTTAACTATACACTGACGAAAGTCCTGTTTTCGGCTTCTATCCCCAGTGTGTTGATCAAATTGATCTCACTGATCCGGTTCACTTGCTTTTGTGAATTCAAAGTCACTTTGATTCTTGTCATGGTTGCCTATTTTATTCGCAGTTATGTTCGATGCCGAGTAAACACACAGCATCCTATACACGCTACTCATGCGCATTTGTGTATTATGTTATATGTTTTAGCAATTTGCAGTTCACACGTTTGTTGTTATATCGTAATACGTATGTGATAGACCTGTACCTCAATATGTCAAAAAGTTATGTTTTGTTTGTTCATTCTTGCCGTTAAGGCATTCATTATCTCAAGCCTATTCGTCTACGGGTCGCCGAGCTCCAATCACATGCTCCGGCAAACCTATTGATGCTGACCTATTTTGTTAATCAATGTGAAAAACGATGCAGCTGACCGGTGGTTGCCACCCTGACTTTTTATTCAAATTTACAGCTTGAACAATATGATTTAAGTAATGCATTGCAAGGCCCAACTATATATTAAATCATGTTAGCTTGAAATTGTCATCCCGCACTGTTTTTCAACACGCGAAATAAAGTGGAAGCCGAATCGTACTTATTCATTCTATCGTCATTTTGACTAGTCACTTTTCCGTTAATTGATTCATCCTAAGCACTAAGTCATCACGCCACTATTAGAATCCGCTTCATAAATTCGCATCTCATGAACGTATCGATGTGCAACTCAAAGCACCTACCTCCACCCAGCAGCAGTACCGCTTTTCAGAGGCTTAGTTTTGT